TGCAATTTACCTTTCTAACTTAAAGTTTATAAGTTTTCAGGGAAGACTGAATATATTTGTGGCTGCAGGGACAGTAAAATAAGAGAAGAGCTGGCTGTTTGCTCTCCACGCGTAAAACTGATAAGCTTCTTGAGGTGTCAGAGTGAGTCACTAAATAAAGAATTTTTTTGAGTCAGAAATATCATGAAACAAGGTAGGATAGTGCTAATTCGTTAAACTTATAAAGCTAACGGAGCCATTAAATATCACATTTTCGGCCTCTGTGAACGTGTTGAGTTTCATAGCATATTATCTGAAATATAATGATTACTGATGGATGTATACCTTCTGATACAATATTGCTACAACCTTCTGTGATATATCTGTCTTAAAATTTATTTTTGACCCAAGAAATATATATTTGGTATGCTATCCAAATTGAATATCACATTTGTGGCGTCAGTGAGCGTGCCGGATTTCCGGAACCACTTAATTAACCCTAAAAATAATCTTTCAAGTACATTTCAACCCAGTTTTATCTTTCGAAACAAGGTTAGTTATATTTCTAAGTGCGAATTTGTACTTGAGGTGATCAATTATGACAGAATTTGGCATTTTCTATCGTTTTTTTTTTTATTTATTATTATTATTATATTTTATTATATAATACCCCTATTCTGTAAAACCTGTATTTAGCGGGCGCTCCTCTATTCTTCGAACAGGCCGCTTTTAAAATACAGCCGGGTTCGACTATCTGTAATTCCCTATGTTCACTGTTAGTGAAAATAGTTTTTCATTTCCAATTTTCTTTCATACGCTATTCACTCAAACCGCTGGCTCGCATGTAAAAGGGACATCCCTGTCTGAGACAATCGCATGTTTCACAGAAAAATCGATAGATAGACTTACAGACAGAATAGCTGACTGGGTTACCGATCAATTAGTTGACATATTGGTGTGGCATGTGATTCCTTTGCCTCTTATTTTCAGAGCTTAAGTCTCTGCCCCGTACCGCAAGCTGAAATATCAGTATGCCAAGGAACAGCTGCAGCGTGATTTCTCTCAAGCATCAGTCTTTCGTGAAACAAATCGCAGCACGAATGAGATAATCTCTTTTTCAAATAATCAAATATCCTTCTAAGTTTATTCTAAGTGCTTATTTGAATTCATCAGCTGGACTGATGATATAAATTGGCCAACATAAAAAGTTTCCAAAGCTGTCGTTTCGAGCGTTAACCGTTCTTGTCACACTCCGACAGACGCATCACCACAGTTTCTTTAGAATGATGATAAGCCTGAGCTACAAATAATTTAACACCGTTATGAAGGTCGCTAGTTGTGGATATTTACCACGCCCTGCTGCAGTTTGGTAAATAGCTTTTCCTAGCTACCGAAGCGAATCGCTGTTTTAGTATATGCTAGGACAGTGGGATGATATGATGCAAGGTGATTGTTTGAACACATTTATCCATGAAGTAATAAGAAAACTTTTGGGCGTAAATCCCGGGCGCGTTGCTCGGGGGTAAATAGCAATGTATATTCAGAGTTTTAATGGCCAATTAGAGTGCGCCTTGAACGGAAAGATCTAGAATAACTTGAACCTCTTTAAAAACTTAAAGGCAATTACGTTGTGGAGATTTAGGGTTTTTTCTCTCTTATCTTGTTAAAAAAAAAGTCAAAACGTCTTCTGCTTCAATCCACGTGAGCCTTAGACTTTCAATGGTCAAAGCAAGAATATATGTCCATTGTTGATAGGAAACGACGGTCAACGAATCAGCTGACCGATCGTGGTGTGTCGCAGTATTGAACACAAAAATAGGCTTCCTTTAATCTAAAATAGAAATGTTCAAAAGATCGTTTGTATTGGAGCCAAATGCGTTAAAAATACACACCAAAACTATTTGGCCACTTCCTTTCGATCCAAATTAGTTTCCAGGGGAGTCAGAAATATCTTTGAACCAGACAAAATACTTTATGACAGACATCGAATGAAAGAAATAGGAAGAGTCGTTGTTCTCTTGGAGGTGATAAGCCACTTGAGTTCTTAAGCCAAAAAAAATGTTGTTGAGTTAGAAACATCGCGAAACTAGGTAAAAATAGGTTTGCTCGTGAAATAACTTGAACTTCTTGTTATGTAAATTGGGTGGAGCCATTGAATATCATGTCTGTGGCCTTAATACACGTGCTATCTGTTTAAGTGATCTAATAAAGAATATCCAATATCCGCACATCGCACATCGTGAACTCAAGAAATTGACACTGGATCACCAACATGCCTAATATTCTTGAAGAATGTTAGGCCTGTTATTCTAATTATTCTATTTCCGTTTTCACGGAGCTCCTTTGAATGCAGATAAGACCAGAGAACGCAATATATACGCGATACTTAAAAAAAGATCAGAACTATAACACGGATGATGATAACGGCTTCAATCGATATGAGAGCAAATGGAGTGATTGAGATGTTGTAATAAACACTCATAATAGACTCTACGATAGAAATTTTGTTTACTTTTGTAATGATTTTAACATTTGTAGGCACCATAACTGTACGAGGTAGATAATGATTTGATTGATGGATGATAAAATTGATTGAAGAAGGTTCAAGGAATATAACTTCTTTGGTTGAATTATTTTGCATGTGTGGTCTGCATTAAGGAGTGCCTGGTCAAGGAACGGCAGTAGAATGATAACAGTACCATCCAGCACTTTTGAAGTGTCAAATATTAATGGATAACACAGTTTCATTGCTCCTGTGTATTAAAATAATTGTATCAGAGAGAATTTCTCAATGCAACCTGATTTTCTCTGCAATTTTATTTCTGTTTGTGCATGTGAGGGAAAATCTTTTTTTTTTTTCTTCTGGGGGTCAATGGTGTACTAAACAATTACTAACCTCAACACTCTAACCAAGAGGAAAAACCGTAATTCTGCATTGCTTCATAGCTCTGAGGATTAACTGACATTTTCACCGTTTAATCTTGAATCCCATTAATAACTTATTCTCAAATTCTCTAAGACAATACTGTAGCACGCCACTGGGATACAGATGCGAGTGCGTGTTGAGCTATCTCATTCATTAATCGTCATCCATGATCTTTTCAATCTAATTCCGCCCTAGCGAGCCATCTTAAATTCAGATAATAAAGTTATCAAGTTAAGAATCTCGTCTTTCATTTCCACGGGAGAGTGGTTTCTGCTCCAACAAAATGTCAGTCACCCAAGCTAAGTTTAAGAATAAAAAATCATCCAGGGAAATTTCATCCAGGATCTTAGGGTCATCATAACTGGAATGGAAAAAAAAAATTAATACAATTAGTGTTGTCTCTGGCGATAACGGAAGTACCTGACTTACATAACTTGGGAATCCGCACGTAACTCTGTCAGCTACATATAACTCGGCAGAAGGTTGAGTCCAATCAGTTTTGACAAACCTTGTCATATCCATTTTTTTGGCAGCGTTTCTGAGTGATACTGCATGCAACGCCAAAAGAATTACAATGAGACGTATTCAACAAGGAATGGGTTTGTGAAATCTGGCTCTTTGATAAACAATTCGCATTTTAAAGAAACTCTCGTCGAAAACTTAAGCAGTGCTTGATATGTTTAAAATATGGGATTTTTATTGCATGTCTATGTCATTTAAACCTAATTTCTTATTTCTGTATATAACAAGTATCATGCAAATAGTTGGTTGATTCGTCGAATTTCGTCCGGCCTAAGGTTTATGTCCTTTCCATTCCTTTATTCCTTTAAAGTGTACTTGCCAAAGAAACAGGCTTCAGGTGCCTTCTTCGTCTTTCATTCAATATTGCTCTCTGCCGTCTTTTATTTTCTGTCCAAAGTAGTAATGTACTCATTCTGTTGCTCTTAGTTTTGGCGGCGGTTTTTCTCATAAAATTCGAAAGTTGATCTGGCTCAAAAGATAAAGGTGAAACGTAAAACTGCCACGTTGATAAATTCCGTCGTATATCTTGATATTTCATGTAAAGCATATCAATGGTACGTTCCCTGGGCGCAAGAAAAAATGAGAAATTCCGCTTTTTCATCAATGTCCAAATTCTGCTGATGCAGGTCTCCGGTAAAATTAGCGACGGATCTCTTTCCTTCAATTAGGCCAAACAAGTGTTCCGAATTATCAATCAATCGCCCAATGGAATGAAAATTGACCGCCCCGACCGAAAACTTATCGCCAAAGTGATGTAAAAGGGGAAATCTATCGTCACCGAATCCCGACTTAAAAGATTGACAATTTCACAGGCTCGATTTGGCTTGATCAGCATCGGTACCTCGTAGCACTGACTCTGAATTAAAGTCATTCCACGTGGAATCAGTTGGCAGTTTGGTTCAGAAGTTTTGGGATGAATTGATGAATAGACTGTTAAGAATATATGAAAGTCATATATTTGAACTGCGGATAAAGACATGAATGAAAGTGATCCTCGCAGTGATGTGCACTACTTAGGCGGTAGTTTTATACTGTTATAAAGGCTTAATTTTTTTGCCTTTTTACTTTTTGTAAATCCGGATTTCAAAATCTAGATCGAGATTTCCCAATTGAAAGCATCCGTAGATTGTTAAGTTCTGTCGGTTGTTCATTTCATTCTGTAACGTGGGTGGTACTGATCATAGAGTATCAAAGCTGGAATGACTTCACACCCCACAATCACTTCTTCTCTTCAGGTTCAGCTCGAAATAAAATTTTAAAATAACAAATGCTTTATGGGATTAAAATACAGCACTCATCTTTTAAAAGAACGCAAAAGAAGGAAATTCATGACATCTCAAGTTGGATAACTAATAATAATAATCCACCTTAAAAACGGATTTTTGAGCTTGGAAATCTGGTTTTTGATTTCATGTTGTGTCGCAAAATCTGAAATCCGGATATAATAAACTAAATCAAGATGTCCCAATCGAAAGCACCCCATAGTTTCTTTCTGTATTTTGTCAGAAATTCATTCTGAAATGTGACAGTATAACATATCGCTGCTGAAGTAACTTCACACAACACAATAACTTCTCTTTCAGGTTCTGCTCTACTGCTTCTGGCACTTTTTGTGACTTTCCAAATTCTACCATCAATGCGTGCATTGCCAATAGATTGCCAAAAGAACATTGCAGTTTGCCTGGAAGAAATAATGAAGGAACTCACCCAAGTTCGATTTCAGGTTAACATCCTCGCAGAGAACAGAACATCGTTGAGATGTAAGTAAGATATCCTTCGCTTATTCGTATTCATTATTCCATCTTCTCTCAATCGTTACTTATATTACTGGAGACTTATTCTACACAATGGTGAATCCAATTTGTGTTTCAAAGGACCAATTTTACAACTCTAAAGTACACAGTTTTCTGTTCGGAGCTCTTATCCTTTACTATACCCTTTTAATCAGCAGTGTAGCTGCACATGGAAAGGAAAAAAAGGATAATACTTTCAATTTTTTTCAGTAACTTTTTCTGAAAGGAGCAGCAAACGGTAGATTAGAATAAGAAACAGTATATTGTTCGGTTCGGAGCCGATTCTGGAGGGAGGAACCGAGGAATGAAGGAGCTTGTTCCAGGATGTGAGAGAACGCTTTTGTTGGTGTGCGTTTGACAAACGCACAGAAACAAAAACTTTGACCATATACTATTGATATATATGTTGTTAAAAGTGTGATTCCTATTCCCTCTCCTATACATGAATCGCTTTTGTTTTATCGTATGGAAAAATGTTATTTAGCGTAAAAGGTATCTAATAAGCCTGCTTCATTATGCCCTTCTCCAGTTTTCTCTATTTTGTTGTAATTATTTAAATGTTGTGATTGTTGAAATGAAGAAAATAACGATAAAAATGTAATACTGACTTTAATGACTCAATCAAGTAGCACTCCTTCCGCTAATAACCAGTGTACGTCTACAGATTAAGTTAATATACTTTTGTGCTCATACCATTTAATTTAATACGATAAATAAGACAAAAAAAATCTATGAAAAATGTAGGTTCCGTCTTCTTTCCAAGTTAGAAATTTTAGACATTTTTCATCAGGTGCAAATCGATACCAACCCCTCGTTGTAGACATTCCCACAACACCAAGCATCTTTATTTTATCTTCAATAGCTAAGAATTGCGCTGAGCTGTACAAATCTGGTCGAAGGGTCAGCGGTGTCTACACAATCGACCCAGATGGTTCAGGCGCCTTTGATGTATATTGTGACCAAACTACAGCTGGTGGGGGATGGACAGTGGTCCAGAAGAGAATGGATGGCTCTGTCGATTTTAACCGCACCTGGGATGACTACAAACATGGCTTTGGTAACTTGGTTGGTGAATTTTGGCTCGGACTGGACAAGATAAACCGCCTGACCCGAAACATGACAAAAAACAAGCTTCGAATAGATCTAGGTGTAAAAACTGGCAAAACTGTTCACCCTGAGTATGGCTGGTTTGGGATTGGGACCGAGACAGCTAAGTACCGGCTATACCTTGGTGATATCATAAGTAAGTAAACCGATTTTTAGCATTTACCTGTCGATTTTTATACACTACTTCTCTCTCATCTCAATCTCGATATTTTACTCCACTTGGTCGAATAATGGTATTATTAAATAACAGGGTAGTCCTGAGGTAGACCCGCACGTTCTGATTGTTTCTTACTCGGTCGGGAGTTTGGTGCGAGTCCCACATGAGAAACTTCTTACTAAAGTTATTTTATTTATTTATATATTTTTGCCTTTGTTTTGTTTCTTTTTTTCGCGGAAAACAACAAGTTTGAAGCTATAAAGACATTTTACGGACCCTTGAATTATACGGATTTCTTTTGTTCTGTTTTGAAACAGATGCCAGTGTTTCCTCTGATTCCCTCAGTCCTCTCAGAGATCTCGTTTTTGGTACCTGGGATAAGGTTCCTGCTGATTGTGCTCAAAATAGAGGAGGAGGCTGGTGGTATGACAACAGAAGTGCTGAATGTGCCGTTTGGTCAAATCTCAATGGTATTTATCCGCGTTGTGGAAAAGAAACCTTGGCCGCTATCCACTGGGGAAACTTAGATTCTACCAGTGCCGAGAGAAGCGCTCCGACACTAACTGAAATGAAAATTAGACCAGTAGAATTTATGCACGTGGCTTGAAGTCTACACATATGAAATGTGTATCTACTTAATTGACGCTGTTTGGATTAACTTTTTCGATCTCTTCACCTCAATAGGTTCAGTTTTTTAGAATGCGCAAATTAGATTATGACGGCATCATTGACTCGACTACATTTTTGTTGTATAGAAAATATATCATAGCCTGTTGGTATCAGAAATGTTTCATTATTTGCAGACTTCGTAAGATTTGTTTACAATAAAACGATTAAAATGTCACCAAACATAATATCAGGAAAAAAAAATTTCAGTACACCGAGTTAATTCAGAAGAATTCTATATACAATGGAACGCTACATGCCACAAGATAGAGTTTAAATATGTTTTGTTATTAATACTATAAATTTTATTTTTCTAATGATTTTTAAGCTTTATTATTTCAGTGCTATCGAAGATTAGATAAAAAAAAAGGTATCTTTAAAATGTGGGTTTATAATTCGTGAAAAAAATAAAGACTGCTTTACACTATTTCTACTTCTATATAAAACACTTATCGATTGAGTTGCCATTGGAATTCTCTTGTTGAATACCTTCTCCTATGCTCTCCTACAATGGTTTTCAATTTTGATATTTTCAGGGAGGATCTGACGAACACGTTAAAGTATCAAGGTACACTTCCGAGCCTGGTGTAGCCGCTCATTTGCGCAAAAGTATCAGCTAAACATGTTTCAAAGGTCTTTACAGCATATCGAGGGAGATAACTCCTGTTAATTACTTTCGTGTAAACAGAATGACAAAACAATTATGTCCCAAAGTAGGAAATGTTGACATCAATCTCTTACGGAATTCTTGGACGACATGCATAAAAGTTCAAAGGTTGAAAATTTGATTGACAGACAAGAGAATATACATTCTCGGTTTACCCTTAACTCTCTGCACACTGTTCTAAAGAGTGATGAGACGGCTAATTAAGGAAAGTGAAAAATGGAACATTCTTAAATTTCTTTCTTAAAGTCACATTGCTGTTTTCCTTCACATCGAAAATTTACTAGGACTTGAGTGATACAGTCCAGTTTGTTTGGATGTCCGTGGTATGCAAAGGCTGGTAGAAAACATAGTCAGTTTTGTGTTTAGAGGCTTTTATGTGCCCAGTGAAACATATAAGTTAAAACTTTAGTTATTTTTAGAATATAAATACTTTAAAAGCTTTCTATAATTTTCGAAAGTTTTTTTTCATGCAGAGTTCTCGGGACAATCGGGCTATAAGGCAGACTATTCTGTGACAGTAAAATTAACAAAAATTATTTAAAAAAGCGAATTAATGTATGACTGAAATTAAACAGTTGAGAGGACTTATTTTCGCACTTTTATCTTTCTACAGCAAGCGATAGAATTTCTGGTATTTTTCGTTAATTTTTAGTAAGCCCATCATGAACGAATGTCAAGGTTTCAGTCAGTCTTATTATCGCCCATTGTGCCCGAAATAACTTTTATCGTGTCTGAAAATATCTCCTCTTTAGGATTGTGCTCAAATGCGTTGATATTTCTTTCAAACTGTTTTATCATTTATACCTCAAGCTTTACAAGTTTTCAAGAGAGTCTTATTATTTGTTGCAACTGGAATAAGTGTTTGTGACAGAGAAAGCAAAGTACGAGAAGCGCTGACTGTTTTCTCTCTACGTGTATAACTGATAAGACACTTTCGTTCCTGGAGTGAATCGCTAAATATAGATTACGTGTCGGGAATATGATGAAACAAGGGAAGATATTGCTAATCCGGTAAACTGATAAATCTAACGGAGTCATTGAATATCTCACTTGTGGCCTTGGAGCACGTTCTGGATTCCCTGACTAGCAAAATTTATGAAATGTAATGATTTCTGAGTGATGTATTCCTTCTGATACAATCTTGCGGCAAGTTAGAAACTTGAACAAGATAACATATCTAGTATTGGCCCTTAAATAGTCTCATGGAACTGTTCCGGTCTCTATCCAAATAATATTTAAAGAGTATTTATGCAAATGCAATTTATGCAGGAAACTGTTCTATGAGGTACGGTGCTCTTGAAAACGGAACTCCGTCGCAGATCTACTAACTACAAATCAATAAGCTTTCAGAACTCTCTCATACGTTTTTGTTAACCCAAGAGATATTAGGTATCTTATTTACATAATTTTAATTCTGACCCTATCGTATCGAGAAACCTGAATGCAAATGACACCAATATCAGAGTACTGCTGTTCCCAAAATATTCTAAAAGTTGCTGTGTCGCATTTTTTGTTTAAGAAATGCTAAAACACAGAGGATGAAAACCGACTTCAATCAAAACGAGACCAAATGAAGGTATCACATTGCCCAGTAAATGTAATAAACCGTTGATGAACTTTGAAAAAATTATGTCAAACGAAAGAGCGTATTGATATTGATATGAGGAAGGAAAAGTGCAGTCACATTTGATTTGAAAATTTGTTAAAATTCTGAAATTGTACGGTTTTAAAATGAAAACACTATATTTTGACAATACCTTATGAAATATCAACAGCTAAAAAATAATGTCAACCGTTTGGAAAGCCAAGCGATGTATTCAGTTACGTTTGGGATTCCATCTGCTGGAATCTTTTGGGACTCGTCGACCGCTACGCTCGCCAAATTTTGTTGAAAAATCCAGCTCCGCATTAGTTTGGTTTGAACAACTGCCCAATGTTTCTCGTTTCAAGCGTCGAAAAGAAGTATAGGGAAGAAGTCTCAACACTTTTGACGAGGGTTTTGGCGATTTGGAACCATGACTATGATTTTATCAAATTACAAATCATCGCACGATTGTAGAGAACCAATACAGTGAGCATGTACACCCTTGAACAGTTGCCACGATGCTTAGTCTTGCACATTTCTTCACCTAGAGAACGAACATCACTTTTTGTGATCCTTCGACATCAAATAACATATTTTTGATACTGTCAAAAACTTTGAAAAAATACAATAGAATAATTTTGACTCCTTGGCATTAAGTGCATTGAAAAGCATACTCGTCTCCGGGCATTTGGCAACAGAGTTATGTCAAATGATTACTGAAATGTGATTTGGACCGAGGTATTCTTTCTAATAAATATTGCAAATTAACCCAAAAAATATTAGGCATGTTATCTTAATTATTCTTATCGAGCAATTTTGACTGCAGATGAGACAAGAAAAGACTGCTATTAGAGAGTTGCTGTTCTGAAAAATACCAAAAATACCAAAAACATGTATAAGCGATACGTTAAAGGATCAATGCAACAACACTGAGACTGACAACGACTTCAGTCAAAATGAGAGAAAATGGAGGTATCGTGATACTGAGTAAATACAATAAAGCAAGAAGACACACATCATACTTCACAATAACAAAGCCATTTGGGGGCAAAAATGATCCAACCGACACAAATGATCCAACCGACATAAATGATCCAACAGACACAAATGATCCAACAGACACAAATGCTTCAATGGACAGAAATGTTCCAACAGACACAAATGATCTAACAGACACAAATTATCCAACAGACACGAATTATCAAATGAACACAAATGCTTCAATAGACACAAATGATCCAACAGACACAAATAATCTAATAGACACAAATTATTCAGTCGACACTTATAACCCAATAGACACAAATGATCCAATGGACAAATTAAAAGCCAGTTGCCTTTAGCAACATGGATGTCCAGATTTAATTCGTGGAAATTTCCAATATCTTTTGAAACTAAGGAATTTGTAACTTAACATGAATTTAACTTCCCTTTGTTTGGGTTATTTACTGTTTATTTCACTGCATACTGGAAGCTCGAACTTAAGTACACATACTTCCAAAGGCAAGCTCGACAAATGCAGTTGATAACACAAATTGCAAGGAACGGATGCACTACACCATGGACACATGCTGATTTGGTTCTCTTAAGAAATGCCCTACTGAAGTCATATTTTTGAAAACTGTTATTCAAAGGCCTGGGTTTAGCGGAGCGTTTTACGTGATGCATAAGATTGTCTCCCTGAGTTGAGGTAAACCCGGACTAATAGTTCCTACTTAAAAAATACAATAATTTCATGTAAATTAAAGGTATAACTAAAGTGCTTTGTCAATGAAAGGTGCTTAAAGCCCCTTTTTTCAACGGCCGTTCCCGTCCCAAAACGATTCCAGAGTCGTAGCCATTGTCATGTTTTTAGTGGCAAGATGAAGGCCAGAATAGAAAGTAAGAGGATACCACGAGCGTCTGTCTAACAACCTTGACTGTTTTTTTATTTTATGAAACCACAATCTAAAAACACTCCGAAACGTCTGGAGTTTGATTTCTGTTCCTTGCCTTTGGCTTTCCAAAGGTTCTTGTTGTTGGTTGGAGTCACAAATGGAGCCCCTTGGGTTAACAGTTGGTACAGCTCTCAGCCTCTTCAAATTAATAAGGTTTAGCATGAAATAACATGAAAAAAGGTCAAAATTTGAGAAAGTAAGCATTAGATCTAAGCCCCGAGTTTTGACGAGAGTTTCTACACACTGCCGGATTGTATACTAGACAGCCAGATTTAACAAAGCTATTTCCTGTCGAATACCTCTCAGTGTACTTCTTTGGGCGTTTATGCAGTGTTACTTTGAAATGCTGCCAAAAGATAATCTCTTTGATGACGACCGAAAAGAAAGTTGAGCAACTCTACAGATATTGCATGGTTGCAGGATTTTGTCAAAAATGATTGGACTCAACCCTCTGCTGAGCTTTTTTGAAAGAAACTGACGGAGCAGTGTGCAAAATGTGTTTTATGCCCCTATGCTTTTCCAAGTCGTGATAGTCAAGTACATCCGTTATCACCAGAGACAGCACTAATCAAAGTGATCGATCGAATCGGTTGCTGTTTTAGTTAGTCTTTGGTAAGCTACGTCCATGAATGCTTCAAAAGAGGACAGAATCGTGCAAAATATATCAAAAGATTTAACTTTCCATTCTTAAATGTTAACAGAGGAAATTGAGGTTTTTTTGGAACGGACATAACAGTTTCGTGGCAGGGAAA